CAAATTAGACCCAGTGGAATTAAGAAAACCAAGTGGTTTTAAATAAGCACAATTCTCCATAATACTCTGGTACCATGCAGAATTCAAGAATTTGCCTTTACGAATTTAGATCTCTCGGCTGCGAAGTGCTTCATATTGAGGAAAATTAAAGCCCAGGGCTCAAGCACAAAGTAAGAATAAGAATTCAGAAATAGTTCTGAGGCATGTTGTCTCTATTTCATAATGGTATGCTTTTCTTGTTTTTGATAAGATAGATTTTATTTCTATTCATAGCAAATGAATGAGGTTGCATGTTACTTGGGGAAAAATAGATACCTCCTAATGAAAGTTGGTGGTGTTTTCAGTGGTATAATAAATACATTTCTCTTTGTTCCTAGATGTCCTCAAATGCTAGTGCAGTTAAACGTATTCCAGTAAGTATAACTTTTAACTTGTGCATAAATCACTATAAAATTGTTGTAAGTAATGATCTCCATGAACTGTCACAGGGAAACTTAGTATTTAGCCTTAGTATTTTTAACAGCCACATTTGATGGCATTGTGGTCAGGAATTAAGAATCTTAATGATCAATTAGATGTTGATCTATTGAACTTTTGGTCTTTAGCTTATCGTTTTGTACAGTTGACAATTAATAATTCTCTAGCTACAAGCTCCTACATGTATCCTTCCCCTTTCTTGTGATGATTTTCTCTTCCCAATTTTTTTCTGGCCTAGAAGACTCAGTTTATCTGTCAGTGGAATTTCATGTACTGCAAAACACCGAAGAAAGCTGCTTGGGTTTGCGAATGTTTGCTCTGCAAACAATATTGGGTGTTCATTCTCTCTAGGTTGTTTGCAGGACAACGCTGAATGGTTTCTTTCAAAGGGAAAACGAGAGCATGTTTGTTCACACAAGCAGTCTTACAATTTCGGAGGTTCTAAAATAAGGGGCCAGGAAACCAGTTTGTCTTGCTATGGAAGAAAAGTACTTCTGCCTTCTCAAGATAATATTCCTCATTTTTCTACCATTTGCCTTTCATTCTGCTAAATACTGTCACAATAATTGTTTGGAATGTTGACATCAGTTAGCTTAATACACAATTTTATCAAATTTTTACTTTAAAATCTGCTGTTTTCTCCTGTTTTCCCTCCCTCATTCTGGTAAGAACCTCTGTCTCTTCCCTGAGAGCAAAAAGAAATTGCTCATTATGATTCACTTTGGATTCTGTTAAAGTACTAATGTTTATTATCATGATTTGCTTGGCTTTAGTGTGGGAAAGCGCGTGGCACATCTACAGCCCATTAACAGCAGGCCTGCAAAAGCTTGAGTTTTTAGAGTACAATGACTGAACTGTTATTCTTACTATAGTAACCGTGAGGAAATTCAGGATTTCAGCTCTGCTTTCCTCTGTCGTTTTAGAGATTGCATTTAATGTACCTGCTAATCACTAGGTACACAGTAATCTCCCGTGGTGTTTTGGGGGAACTAGGTTGAAAAACAAATTTTAAATGCTTCTTGCCTATTCTGGTAGCCCCAGAGCACTTTTATAGTTTATCTCTGGGTGTGCCCACAATCGTTCTGCTGGTGTTCTGCATTAAAATAAACCAGTTATAAACAAAGAAGGAGAAATTCTGTCCTTTTAAATCTGGGACTCGTCCACCGTTGTCCTATTTCAGAGTTGGGTGTGGCAGAGTCCTGGTAAGGTGCCTTCACTCTGTCCTCATGGAGATTGTAAGTTCTTCAGGAGCAAACTCTCTTCTGAATCCTGCACCCTGGTGGCACCGTCAGTCTTTTCTGTTTCTCGCAGGAGGGAGAGCGATGGGAGGACGGCCCTTGCAAAGTGTGCGAGTGCCGAGGGGCGCAGGTCACGTGCTACGAGCCTTCCTGCCCACCATGTCCGGTGGCCACACTGGCCGTGGAGGTGAAGGGACAGTGCTGTCCCGACTGCACGTCAGGTAGGTCCGTGTCCCATTTATTTCTACTGAGGTAGTTTTTCTGCCAAAAAATTTAGAGAGATCCTATTTCCCAGCCCACCTGCCATCTTGCTGCTTTTTCTGTACTCACCCAATGGGTATGTTTCTTTCTTCCTAATTTTTCTAACAAATGATAAAAATTAATCTTTGTCCATGTAACTGCCAAACTCAACTTATTTATGAGTATGTGACCTTGGACAAGTCATTGGCCCTATTTTCTTATTGACAAAATACACCTTATCTGTCTTGCAAAATGACTGTGAAAATCAAATAACAGTGATGTTCAAACACTTGTGAAGGAGCATCTGTCTTCCACTGTGGAAAATACAAGAATAATTGCTCAAAGTTTGTTGTGGATGTCCTTTTTCTTTTTTGTAAGGTGAGCTGTTAAACAGATGGTTCCTTTTGGAGTTCTCAAATGAGTTTTTAAAGTTTAAAGACTCATTAATTTCTTCCAAAAGAAAATTTTATCTACTTGTTCTGCAATTCTGCTTTCAAATCACCTGAGGTTGAATTAGTTCCAGTTAATAATTGTTGGCAAGCACTGGAGTTGCTCTGGTTGAGCAGTAATTTGCCTATAAGCTGAGTCTGTCTTGGAGAAATGACATTTTCTTCCATTCATATTTCATAATTAGTTGTTTTCATTCACGGTCCACCATTTTTCATATTGGCAGTTGCTCTTGTTGCACCCAACTTATTTTGGCTAATCGCAGTGTTTCCCTGAAGAGTTTATCAAGGGAAAGGCAAAGCAACTTTGTGGTTTAATTACGTTACCTTCACCAAAGTGGCTCTCCAGGCTTTTCAAAGCAAACATTCAGCATATTATTACGTACTCGACATCGAAAATCAAGTCCTTGACAACTTCAAAACCTTTCGAAAAAAGTCCTTTGCTGACAATTACCACTAAGTTCAGTGATAATCCCAATTGTTGGGAATGAGATTTGAAATTTTAGAGAAAAAGAAACTGACTGTACTTTTGTTTAGGTAAAAATAGCTATTTTTAAACATTGTAGGTTTTGTGTCTGAACTGCTTATGCATGTCAAAGCTTAGCAAGAACATCTCAGATATCATAAATTATTGAATCTGTTTAAATCATGTATTATGGAAGTAGTCATTCCTGTTTCTGGAGATATTTCAGCAGGGAGAAGCATTAATAAACCTGCTTTTTTAGCATCTTCAATTTGGGGTTCCAGGAGAGAGTGATAGTATTTCAGACAAGGAAAGTATCCTTGAAACCTTGCGCTGAAATGCCTTTTTCACACCGACGTCCCACAGTTTTCTTCATGTTCTGTATCACTTTATATCCCCTGTAGATACTTTCTCTGAGGAATGTAAGAGAAATCGTATGTGGACTTTACTGAGTTCTCCTCTTCTTTGTCCTTGATTTTAGTTCATTGCCACCCAGACTGCTTGACCTGCTCTCACTCTCCAGACCACTGTGACCTCTGCCAGGATCCCACGAAGTTGCTGCAGAATGGGCGGTGTGTGCACAGCTGTGGCCTGGGATTTTACCAGGCTGGCAGTCTCTGTTTAGGTATGGCTCTGAGCGGACAACCCAGCGGCGGTGTTGTACGGTAGATCGCGAAACTCCTCAAAGGTTGTGATTCTCAAACTGAGACGCAGTATTGTCTGAGCGGGTCGTGAATGCAGGAAATGCTCAACGTCTAAAAACCACTAGAAGGTGGTAATGTCATCCAGAGGTTACTTGGTCCCTTTACCTGCAGGTCTTCTAACATTTTACAGGTGTTTTAGTGATCATTGGGAGATAGGTGATGTGGAGATCAGATGGCTGCTAAGTAGTCACCGTGGATTTTTTCATTTTCGAAGACTTTCAAGGATAGTAATATCATCAGGATGCTTAGCATCTTATTAAAACACTTAGTTAATCCAGGATAGAAATTTAGAGTTGGCATAGACCTTCAAGATCACTTACTAGAACTTTCTAATTTTGAAAATGGGGAACCTGTGGGCCAGAGAAATTAACCAACTTGCTCAATCTCACATAGGTGACTGGTAACAGAACTTAACTCTTGTGAGTTACCAGAGAATCCAGAATGGGTTCATGTGCATTTCAGAACTCTTACACATCCGAGAAGGTGATTTTACCTGGGAGAGTTTGGCTTGGTTAAGGTCAAATCTTTGTCACTATTTCTCTTTATCTCTGATTTGCGAGGTTAATTATCCATTAAGAGTATGTGGTTCACACCATGGCTGTGAGTTTTTAACCTCTCTGCGCCTCACTATTCTCATGTGTAAAGTGAGGGTAATTCTAGCACCTTCTTCAGAGGGCTTCTGTAGGGTGAAGTGTGTCAGTACACGTTGGGTGCCTAGACTACTGTCTAGGATGTGGTCAGGTTTCAATAAGGGCTAGATGCTTTTATTATTTTTATAATTATTCACTTCTCCCTACTTTCTGTCCTGATTCATATAATCTTTAACCTTTTTGAAAGTCATTTATATCTGCCAGAGAATGTAAAGAAAAGGGGGCAAGGGATCTTCTTGCAAAAAGGCTGAGTGACAGAGATATTGGAGGCTGTTGGATAAGAAGCAAAGGACGCATACTCCTGAGCCAAACTGCCCGGCTTCGGATGCTGGCTTCATGTGACCTTGGGCAAGTCACTTAACCTCCCTGAGCTTGTCCCTCATCTGTAGAATTGAGATTAATAATATCTGTAGGGCTGTCGTGAGGATTAAATGCATCATTTGTGTAAAGCCCTTCAAACAGTGCCTGACATGAACGGTGGGCTTTAGCAATGATGGCTCCTAAAATTGTTTTCCTGCCTTTCCTGTTGTACGTGGGCCCAGAGCCTCAGGACTGGGCTATGTAAGCGTCAGCACGGGGGTAGTGTCTTTGAACTAATCGGAGCATCCCTCTTCCTTTCTCCGCCCTTGCCTGGAGCCAGCCTGCCAGCCTCAGTGCGCCTCGTGTTCCAGCGGGCTGGAGTGCACGTCCTGCCAGCCGCCCCTGCTGATGCAGCGCGGGCAGTGTGTGTCCGCCTGTGGGGACGGCTTCTACCGAGATCGCCGCTCCTGCGCAGGTAATCCCCAGCTGGCCCGCGGCGGGGTGGGCCGCTCAGCTCCCCCAGCCCCACCCCACCAAGCAACCGGGGGTGCCAGGAGCTGTGAGCAGCTTTTTAAATAAGAGAAGAAACTCCGAACGAGACTCCTGACGGGCTGAGAAGAGCCGTAGATGAGAGAGATGACACACGTCGTTTTTGTGAGCTTAGTAGGCTACTTTAGCGTCTATATACTCCAGTAGATTGATATGCCCACTTTTATATTTTTAATTAAGATCTAGTTGAAATTCTTAATATCACTATTAGACTATCGTAATAGTCTCTGGAGGTGGGAGTGGCTATAATATAATTTAATTTATTGTTTTTACTTGACAGCTTTTTTAATAGTGAATATAATCATAGAGTATAACAAGAAAACTAACTGTATATAGGATTTCTTAATGTCTGCACTTGTGGGAGAAGGAAGTAATGGTGACAGCAAAGACAAAGGGCAGAGATGTGAGTTTGTCTTCAGTAGGGCAGATAATTAGATGTGCGAGCAACCTACCGCGGGGAGCGCGGCGGCAGAGAAATCTGAAATGGCATCGGGCCGGGAGAGGGTCTTGGGTGTCAGGAGAACCAACGCAGGGGCGGCTGGTGTGCTCCTCGCTTTCACGCCCTTGGTCAGATTTTTAGGACAATCACTTGGAGAAAAACAGTTAAAGAGAATAAGTGCACAGTAAGCATCAAAGATGTGCAGGCTGAAGGCCGAATGAGCTCTCGGCCGCGTGCAGGTCCCGGGTAGAGGAGGCCGCTGGTCGCGGCCAAGCAGAGCCCACGGGTTGTGGAAACACCTGGACAGAAACACTAGCATCGTTTATGCCTCCTACAGAGAGAGGAGGAGGGGAGGGCTGTTCTGTGACCAGCCACGTTACAGAACGTGGAAGGTGGAACGGCTCCAGCGTTTGGCGTGGAGGCTCTTTGAGGTCTGTAAGAATATCTTGAGTGTCCGTCCTCAGAACGAAGTGGCCAGCATTTGGTGGCCAAGTGTATGATGAACGAACTGAAGGAACATACCACCCTTGGTGGTACTTGAAAGACCAGCGTTTCGCTAGGAGTCTTGGCCATAAAAGAGAAAAGAATCCTTAGTGTTTACACGTACCATGTTCTATTTACCTGTTGTTTTAAAAGTGGGCTCATACAAATGCCTTTGTAAGAGTCTAATGGTTGGGCAATTTAGGCAAACTGCCGAAATTTCAATTTGATGAAATTATTGAGTGTGTTCTTTACTCTCTTCTTCTATCCCATCAAAGAGCCCTCCTGCTAGCACTCCTATGTCAGATTTGCCTTTAAAAGGGGATTAATTCCCCCCAGATGTTACTTCTTCCTTTGTACCACCTCCACCCCCTGCCATACACATACCACACCTAATATTTACTTTTTTGGGGAGTGCCACTTTTTTTTCTCCCATGCCCATTATTTTAATTGGTGACACTAACACTGTTTTAGGGCATTTTGAAATGGGTAATGTTTCATTTGGCGACTGGTTTAAGTAGCTGACTGCTTCACATTCCGTCCACATACCCACACACAAATGCCTCTAGTAGAAAGTTGCTGGGAAAATTTGTTCACGCTCCCTCCGGGGAATTAAACCAATTTGCTTTTAGTTCAGGCTGGTTGCATTTTTATGCATAAAATAAGGAGAAAAAACAGAGCAAGAAGAGAGAGAGAGTGATCTTAAAAATTAAAGCTAAATTTGTGATCAATTTCCATATACCATCTTGGCACTGAGATCATCTTTCCCGATAAGCTTTCTCAGTATTGGAATTTTTTGCAATATTCGTACTTGTTCCATTTTTGTCAACTTTTCACCACTGACCTTGGAAGTCAGTCAGCCAACCGGTGCTCTTCCAATATGTGCTAACCTTTTCAAAAAGAAGCCAGCCACGTCAGGGTAACAGTGGTTTTTCTGGATTGATTTCTCTTGGCAGGGTCATTTATGTTATGACTGGGATAACTCGCCACTTTGTTGACCCATCAAAACCAAAAGACAGTGAACATGGTCCTGAGGAAACTAATTAACAGAAATCACCTAATTAATATTCATGCTCACTATGTTGAATGTAGGGCAGAGTGGAAAAAAAGTAGCACATAAACATGCTCTTCAACAAAGAGTACAAGCAGGCTGACCAGGGAGGGGTGAGAGAAAACACTGAGGTCTGCCACAGAACCTCCTCCATAGGGGCCTTTATAATTTTCTTTTTTCCCTGTATGTAAACATGTGTGCATGTATCGATCGTATTGTTATATCTTGTGCTTGATTAAACTAAATAAAGTTGTTAATTATAGACTAGGGCCAGGCATGATGGGTCACACCTGTGATCCCAGCACTCTGGGAGGCTGAGGCGGGAGGATTGCTGGTCTCAGGAGTTCAAGACCATCCTGAGCAAGAGTGAGACCCTCTCTGCTAGAAATAGAAAAATTAGCCAGACATCATGGTGCATGCCTGTAGTCCCAGTTACTTGGGACTCAGTAGCCAGAGCTTGCATTTTAGTCTCGGCCCTCAGACTTCTGCCTTAACCTCTAGCTGTCTTTTGCCATCAGCTTGATCTGGTTCAAAATCTCTTCTTGCCTACCCCTTTCCACTCCTCTAGGCCCCAGGGAGCTCAGGTCCTAGGACTGGGCTTCTGCGTTGGTTCCTGCCACCTGTCCTGTTCTAACTCATTTCCAGGAATTACTAGCCCATCTCTGCGGCCTGATGGTCAGGCGTTATCTGTGCACGGGTGCTCTTTGCTCTCCCTGCCCTCCTGACCTTCCCACCACAATATCTGACCTTGCTCCCTTCCTGTATGACTTTTCGGCACCACTTGCCCTGGGCTTACTCTGTTCTCTATCCAGAGCAGTGGTTCCATTGCTGCATCTTAGAAACCCCGGCACTAAATCTAAACCTGGACCCAGATTGAACTCTCCAGGTCCTGAGAACATTCTTCCTGGCTTGTCTTTTCCCGCTTTTCAATCAACCTCTGTTCCACACAAATCCTAGGTATGAGAGCCCATAAGAAGAAAAGCTAAAACAACCAACAGTACACACCACGCAAGATTAGGTTAAAATGAGTAGCTAATAAGATTGTAGGTTTTGCATAAAGTTATCCCCTTTTTTATATGTATATCATTGTTTGGTTTGTCTACTTAAAACTTACATTATTGAGAAAGGCCTGAGGGTGAAGCCATGTGTCCCTCGTGGCAGATGCTGCCTTTATTCTGGAAGTGAGAGGGCGTGTGGCACAGTGGTTAAGAGCTTAGGCCCTGGAGCCAGATCACCCGGACCCTAATCTTGACTCGTCATTTGCATGTTCCTTAACCCCATGCTGCAGTTGCCTCGTGGGTGAAAGCAGGGACAATAGCGTCTGCCACAGGGCCGTGCCATGACGGTTAAATGGGTGAACTCACGTTCCTCGTTCAGGAGTTGGTGCCTGGTGCTCAGTAAGCCTCCGTGAGCGTTAGGAGACGGGTTTCTGCCGTTGCCCACATTCCCGGTTCCCTTCCTTTCATCCCCTGTCACTCTCTTTTGACAGCTGCTTTAGGTCCTGGGATATGGAGATAAATTAAGGTTCAATCTTTGCCAATAGTGAGCCTGCAATCAGGGCAGGGGAGCTGTTGCTTACGGAGATGTGAAACAAAAACACCTTTGCAGTTGATTCTTTATCTGACTGTTGTGTGGTCTTAGACTTTGAAACTTAAAAAATCAAGCAGTTGAACGTTTTATAGGATTACGAGGGGATGGGATTATTTTTAATCTCACCTCTACCACTCACAGCAACAGGGCTTTGGGCAGGTTATTTAACCTCTTCGAGCCTCAGTTTCTTCAACTGTAAAATGGGAATGATATTACCTACTTCAAACCATTATTATGAGGGTTAGAAAAGATGTTGGAAAAGTGTAAATATGTTATGCCCGACCCATAATATGGGGACAATAAAAGATGGGTATTGACGTCATTGAAACCATTCCTTTACTTTTCACACTGTGGAGATGAAAATCACATAGCTTGCATTAAGAAACAAAGTTTTTTGCCATTAATTTCAGATTTAAAATGAAACCTACTTTGATACAGAGCAGTTTACAATATTCGTCACAACAAATTAAAATCCTTTTATTTTCTTTAAATGCTCAGATTAAATGAGGAGAATCTGTAATTGTTTCTTAGCTAAGATCGTGATCTATGGAGAGGAAAAGCGTATGATGAGACTAAACCTATAAAACATACATGCAGGATGTAGAATGCCGACATAGTTGGGATTTAAAAGCTGTGGTCTGAGCAGAGAAACTGCTGAAGTTAATTATGTGTGGGAACTGCGGTTGACTAGAGCAGCCGGTCGTTTGCGGAAATGAGGCCCTGACCCCGTGGGGCCGGGTCCACAGCAGCGAAGATGCATGAATGGGTCTGACGACGATCAGTCCCAACATGTGACTTGCCCGGCCCCGCTGTGCCCTGGGTGGACTCCTGGCAACGGCACTTACGGAACCGCTGTTCTGAAATCCAGGAGCCCTCCTTGCTCTGGCGGACAGTCTATACCAAGCTGGTATCACCCCCACGGCTCGTGCAACACACCCCAGAATCGGAGGGTGAACCCCATTTCATTGCCATTCACATATTCAGTCTGGGGGCTCAGCGCATTCCTACCGCACTGTTTTCACTCGTTTTGTTCTGTTCTTTGAATCCTGTGCATTGTTCAGACCTCTTTCGGCATAACTTTGTAGCAGTTCTGGTCTCTTACTAAATTGTTATCTTATAAAGGGGATTTATTGCTTCAAATGACAGTCCTGTATCCACCACTCTGTTCACGCAAGAAATATTTGTTGAGCTTCTTCTGTGTACCTGGACCTGTCCCAGGCAGTAGGGACACAGTGGACCAGACAGACGACTTCCCCGTGGTTAAGGAATGTACTTCCTCGGTGGGAGAAGTGCCGCTAAGTAAGTAAGCAAGATAATTTCAGATGGAGGATTATCAGTGTATGAGTTTATTGCTATCGGTGCCATA